GAGTCGGAAATGACTCGATGGCACCTAACAACAACAACAACAATGTGTACATGACATGATTTAAATGCTTCAAAAGGCTTGGTATTTTCATTTGCCTCATCATATACATATGAAAGCTGGTCAATGAATAAGAAAGACTGGAGAAGAGTTGATTCATTTGAATTGTGGTGTTGGTGCAGAATACTGAAAATACCATGGGCTGCCAGAAGTAGCAAATATATTCTGGAAAAAATGCAGCCAGAATGCTCCTTAGAAGTGAGAATAGCCAGAATTGTTGCACATAGTTTGATGATGTTAATCAGAAGGGACCAGTCCTTGGAAAAGGATATCATGCTTGGTAAAATAGAGGGTCAGCAAAAAGGGGAACACCCTCAGTGAGATAGATTGCCATAGGTGCTACAACAATGGGCTGGCTCAAGAATAGCAAAAGTTGTGAGGATGGCGCAGGATGGTCAGTGTTTCCTTCTGTTGTATGTAGAGTGGGTACGAGTTGGAGCTGACTCAATGGCACCTAACAACAATAAGAACACTCTAACTTGAGAATGCTCCTGGCTTTCAACAGTCATTGATTTGTGGGGATGATGCCTGCCTTCCAGTAATCTCTCTCAAAATCAGTGTTTTACATATTTCCATTATAATTTTATGGAGGCTAGAGGAAGTAGCTCTGGTTGTGTAGTGGTTAAGGCATTTGGCTGCTAACCAAAAGGTCAGTGGTTTGAATCCACCAGCTGCTCCATGGAAGAAGCATGGGGCAGTCTCCTTCTGTAAAGATTATAGCCTTGGAAACCCAACGGGTGTTGCTGTGAGTCAAAATTGGCTGGATGGTAATGAGTTTGGTTTTTAGATGTAACGTAGGTGGAGATATTGGCATATTGACTGGAAATATTATTATACTTATATTATTTTTAAACTTTGGATGTTTTTGGTCATAAGGTAAATGTGTCACAGATACAGGATGTTAATTTGAACTCAGTAAATTTAAAATAAATCCTTTCATACCAAGCTATAATTAGGTTTATTTAAACTAGAATTAAGCACATCTGAGACTTCCTCCCATTTTGTTATGGCTATTAATCATTGAAGATTTCTTTACCTTACACAAACGTGCATGCCTACACTCACATGGTCACACAATAGACATCATACATATTATGACTCCATATTTACTGTTTTGGGTGTTTAAATCATAATTATGTGACATATGAAGTGTTAAAAAAAATCCTTCAGATAATTTTGAGAGAACTTATTTTACTTACCAGATACTTGTTTATTAAAAGTAAAGCTCTGCAAAAGGGTATTTGTCATGCTATTTTCTGTGATAAAATGGTAACAAAATGAAATAGAGCCATAAAGCATTACTTAGAAATAATAATTTTCTACATTAGTGTGTTAACTTAAATAATAATATTTAACATAGGAAGTGTATTTTTCCTCTTAATTAAACATTAGATATTTTTGTGGATTTTTTGTTTTTTTTCAGAGAACCAGAGGACGAAAACGAAGCTTCGTTCCTGAAGAAGAGAAACATGAGGTTGGAATAAGTTAAGCATTTTTTTGTAGTCTAAACTTTGGCTAAGAAACTTTCTTGCTTAAAAATATTTATATTTTCCTCATATCTTGATTGTGTTTTTTGTTTCGTTTTATTTTGTTCTCCATTGTATGGCAGGAAAGAGTTCCTAGAGAAAGGCGACAAAGGCAGTCGGTATTACAAAAGAAGCCCAAGGCTGAGGATTTAAGAACTGAGTGTGCAACTTGCAAGGGAACTGGAGACAATGAAAATCTTGTCAGGTAAATTGGATGCTGAGAACTTGTCCTTAGGGGATTAAAGTTACATCTTCATCATTTTCTTATCACAGATATATTGAAAAACCTCCCACTGTAGTACTTTTCTTATAATTTTATTTAGAGAAGACAGTACTTCAAAAACAGATTTCATTCACTTATAGCCTGCCACCCATGGTTATACTGTGGATGTAGATGTAATGCATAGCAATAATCTGGACAAGAGAAGCTGACAATTAATGCTGTATATTTAGAGGTCACAAGAAGAATTTGCTTCAAATACTTTGTGTTAAGATTATTATGTTTTATTTTGTACAACAATGAAATTATTAAGCTCTTTAGCATATTATAAAAGTTGAAGTATATTGCCAATGAGGATAAAAGATACCTTTTATTGACAGGTGCTTCATTAGCACTTCTTTATTGCTTATCAAAATGAATGTGTTAAATGCTTCTTTCTTATGAAATAAAGAAAGGTGAAAAGATGGCCTAGATAGACTTCTTTTTTTTTTTTTTAATTCTTTGTTTCTTTTGTTTTGGTGCTTTTTTTTTTTTATTTTTTTAACCAGACATAATGCTAATCAGGAATCTCAGCAGAATCTTTACATCCTGAGAATCCAAGGAATGCCAGTTTTACCCATTTGCCTCTTTTATTGAAAAAAAGAAATGGCTTTAAGCCTTCAGTGAGATAGAGTAGACTGGAAAGCAAGCAGAGAGAGCTTATTTTTAAAAAGAATAAAACGTTACTCTTTCAAAGGACAGCAACACCTTAAGGGTATCCGTTTTGATTTCTTTCAAAAATTATCATTTGGTAAAACTCTGTTAAATTAACTGTGCATAAATTAAACATTTCACAAAGAATAAATATATGATAAATCAAAAACTAAACTTATTGCCATCGAGTCAATTCAGACTCATAGCGACTCTGGTTAGGTTTCCAAGGCTGTAAATATTCACGGAAGTGGACTGCCTCATTTTTCTTCTGTGGAGCAGCTGCTGGCTTCGAACCACTGACCTTTTTGGTTAACAGCCAAATGCCTTAACCACTATGCCACCAAACCAAAAAAAAAAAAAAATAGAAAACCCAACTCACTGCCATTGTATCTATTCCAACTCATAGCGACTCCGTTTGGGTTTCCGAGGCAGTAAATCTTTATCGAAGTCTTCCTTCTACGGAGTGGCTAGTGGGTTTGAACCACCAACCTTCTAGTTAGCTGTCAATGCTTAGGCACTATGCCTGCAATGCTTAGTTAATGCCTTAGGAGCAATGCCACCAGAGCTCCTTACTATACCACCCTAAATAGATGATAATGAAAGAAACAGTTTTTTTAATGTAAATATTTGCTTCCAAAATGATGTCATTTAAAATACAGTTTTTATGTTTGTTAATTCCTCAAAATTGAAGTTTTAGGTTTTATGAATTTCTTGCACTGATTGAGGAAGATAACTAGGAAATAAAAATTCCAGTGTAGAAATACATAGTATTTCAAGAGTTTTAAAAATGTTTATAGTATTTGGCCAGTGTTTGTTTTTTGAAGAAGTTAGTGTAGAATGTTGTGGGAATTCTGGAGGTTAACCTTATTTAAGTGTAGAGTTAAGTAGTTCCAAGATTTTACACAGACATAAATAATTCTGACTGCCATATAATTTGCTCAAGTAAAGTTAAAAAAAAAAAAAAAAAAACCAAAAACCCTGCATAAACATAACATAATGCAGTGCAAAATAACAACAGAACAATAAAAAAAAAAACAAAAGAAACATAAAAATCTTATGTAATGAACAACAAAAATTCAGTCCTGGGGAAATTCACTTCAGATTGTGGAGGGTAGAGTTTTGAAGCATGATTAATTTGCAATAAAAATTTTAAAGTTTGAGGTAGAATGATGCTGATCCTGCTTTTAATTATTTGAAAGTATGTGAACATCTGTCCTGTTATTTATTTTTGTTAATGTACTCAAGCCTTTTTGCAGTAGGACCCACACATTGTTACCAAAGTTTGGGGTTATGTATTTGAAAGAAAGAACTTAGGAAATGAATACAATTTGCATTTGAAAAACTACTTTAGGTTAAAACAAGGGCATTTCCAGCCCATCATATTTTAGTTGCCTTAAAAAAACAAGCAAACATGGGTACCATCTTTCTTCTAATCCTGATAAGATTTTTGAGTAAATTAATGTTTTTTATCATTTATTTCCTTAGTTACTTTTACAAAATTTTCATTCCTAATTACATTATTACTACATGCCAGTGTTTGGAATTTTGTGAAAGTCTTCTGGATGGTAAAGATATTTTTATTACTCTAGACATGATGGATATACAAAGTCCCCTTCCTTGGTTTTAACTTGTTAAGAAGATAACATCATAAATTTTCTGCAGAGGTTTTAAAGAGGTAATGAAGAGAGAATTAAATGTTTTATAAATATTATATAGTAATATTTTTGAATACATGATAAACTGGATATAAAGCAATGCTGTAAAAATGTTTTATTATGTGATTTTTCTGTAAAAAAATATATATATATGTGCATACGTACATATATATATATATATTTTTTTTTTTTTTTTCCTACTCTAAGCACTCTTGCCCTTGGGTTGAAGAAGAATTTTATGTAGAGTTTCATGTGTTTAATAAAAGTGAACTTATAAGCTAGTATTTGCCATTTTCCCTTACATCTTTTTTATGTTGAAATTGACACTGCTCCTTTTTGCAAATTCTCTTAAAAAGTCCCCTTTTTATGATTTAGTTGTATCTTCAATATTATATATCTATATATACATGCTGATTTTTTTATGATATTATAAATAAGGCTTTATTTTCACGAAAGATATATTTCACTGCTTGGTCAAAGATACATTGTGTTGAGTGTGTTTGTGTATTAGATTCTTTTATAAATTTGAACTTCATGAGTAATAGTAATTATTATTGCATGTGCTGTATTTATTTTTCTAAGTCCTTTGAACTAATGTACATAACTTACTAGAACATGCTGTTTGTTTAGCAGCTTTGATTTTGAAACCACACTTCTCTATGTAATTCAGGCTATATGGAAAATCCCTTATTTATTTTCCTTTTTCATGCATTTATGTGTATTTATAAATATTTTAATTATTGGCAACTTGCAGTTTATTTAACAGTAGACTGTAAGTAGTGAGATCCAACTGTTTTTGGAACATAGAGCTCCCCCTCTGTTTTTCTCTGGTCTTTGGCAAGTAATTTAGAATCTGTGTGCCTCAGTTTTTCCCTTTATTGTTCATGATCAAAGTCATACTCTGGTCCATTAGAGATTTCATGAATTATGGTTGCATAATAGTAAAAGTCTTTCTATATAAAATGTTAGAGCAGTGGTATTATTGAATAACAGGAAAGGTGCATGTGTATGTGTGCTGGAAATAGAGGTCGCGGTTGATAAATACTTTCCAGTAATAAATACTTGTATTATACCTTTAAGAAAATGTACATGCTCTATTTTTGTATTAAATTATGTCTAGAATAAAGGGGACAACATAATTAGAGGTTTTTGTTATATGTTCTATAAAATATTCTGACCAGTATTTCCACTAAACACAGAAAATTTGAAAATTTTCAAGGTCTTAAAGATAAAGATGCTTTATAGTACCATATAGAAATTTTAAAAGAAAATGATGCTTTTGTCATCTGCTTTTTAAATTTACTTAAAAATTACTTGAGAGATTTCAAATTAAAAAAAACATTTCGTCATGCTGTTTGAACCCAAAACTGAACGTGTTATTGTTGAGTGTATTCTGACTCAGTGACCCTGTAGGATAGGGTAGAACTGCCCCGTAGGATTTCCAAGGCTGGAATCTTTATGGAAGCAGATTGCCGCATCTCTCTCTCACAGAAAGGCAGGTCACTTTAAACTGTGGACCTTTTAGTTAGCAGCCAAATGCTTTAATCTCTGTGCCACCAAGGCTTCTTTCATGTTATGCAATTTAATGCTAACAGAAAAATTAAAATTCTATCTTGTAGTTATGAGGCCTTTTTGGGTATTTGTCTTTTTGTGATGAATATTCTTTGTTGGAAAATTTATGGGCCCGGTTAGTGATGTTTCCCTACTTTCTTGCATCTTATCTTATTTATGTTTCCACAGTTCCTGGCACATTTAATATTCATTAAAGGTTTGATGAATGAATAACTAACTACACAAGGAATGACTGATTATTCTTCACTGAATTAATAAAAACTTACTAGATAGCAAATTGAGTCACTAAATATAAAGTAAGTGTTTAATGATTATGTTTAATAGGCTTTGTAAAGGATGATTGCTTTTATGTCACTAAAGCACAGTGCATGATTTTTTTTCTTTGTGTTAGGTAAGAAAATAGCAACCACAGATTTCAGATTAGTTAGTTAATGGATCTCTACAAAACTAGAATTGAAGCAATTTCTTGACTTAAAAATATTTACTTTTCAAAAGATGGATTTTATAGGTAGGTGGGTCTTTCTTCTTTGTAGCTCTCTCATCAAATTAAGAATAAGACCAAATTTTTAGATCCCAGATTTGATCTTTCCTGTGGAGGGGTCGCTGTAAGTCAGGCCCAACTCGATGGCAGGTAGCAACAACAACATGTAAGCCTAATTTGACACATTGTATTATGTAATGAAGGTGTTTGTTGTTCCGTGCTTTGGAGCAGTGTCTCCTCATATCTACCTGTCCTGCTCCTCCTGTACCATCCTCACCACCCTTGCTGTGCTTGAGCCCTTTGTTGCAGTCACTGTTTCAGTCCGTCTGATTGAGGAGCTCTTCTCTGTGGAAGATACCAAAAACCAAAATCAAACCAACTGCCTTCGAGTTGATTCTGATTCATGGCAACCTCCATAGGTTTTCCAGGGCTGTAAATCTTTATACAAGCAGAATGCCTTGTCTTTCTCCCACGGAGTGGCTGGTGGATTCAAACCACTGACCTTTTGGTTAGCAGCCCAATTCCTTAACCACAGCACCACCAGAACTCCTTTTGTGGAGTATAGGCAGGGCTACCAAAGGTTT